ATATGTTATGATAACGAAAAAGCGTAATTCACAATTAGTATGAAAGAATGAGACAAATTTAAATAGTTTTTATTTTAGCTAAGAGTAATATAATTATTGTTTCTATATAGACCACAGTCCAAGCTTGATAAAATTAAAAAAACCTCATTAACCCATTAACGCGCAAAAGTGCAATTTTGTGCATGAATTTTCCGTTGTAAAAAAATTATATATAAAGTTATAATATTTTCTTGAAAATCCACACCCAGGGGTTTTTGGGTATGCTCTTTCAGTATCCGGTGTTATTTTTGCGATAAATAAACATTATCATCGTTTATTTTTCCATTAAAAACAAAAAACGTGATTTTTTGACTCAAAATTTTTTTTCAAAGTCGATTTTCTACCTTGCCTTGCCTTCGGAGGGTTCCCATAACACAAGAAATCGTGCACTTTTTCTCTGAACCTTCAAAAAATGCGCTGCCGCGATTTTTATCTAGCCCCTATATTTCTAAAATGGAGAATTTATACCGAGCAGTGGTATAAAAATTCACTCATTTTTTACTCAGAACCTATTTTACATGCGCTAAATATGAACTCAAAAGTACAATTTGGAGTGTAAAAACTTATTTGAAATCGTTTAGAGAATACGTGTGAATTTTTTCAGAATTTTTCAGACCACTTTGAAAATTATGCAAAATACGACCATTTCCCGGCCTGTCGAAAAAATCCCAAAATGTTCCAAAAAAAATCTGAAAAATTCTGAAAAAATTATTAAAAAATTCTAAAAAAAAATCACTTGTATTCTTTGAACAAATTTGAACACTTTTCATTGTATGACTTTCTTTTATAAAGTCAATAATTTACAAATAAAAAATGAGGCAATTTTCATATCGCTGCTCGGTATAAATTTGCCATTTTAGAAATATAGCGGCTAGATAAAAATCGCGGCAGCGCATTTTTCGAAAGTTCAGAGAAAAAGTGCACGATTTCTGGTGTTATGGGGACCCTCCGAAGGCAAGGCAAGGTAGAAAATCGACTTTGAAAAAAAATTTTGAGTCAAAAAATCACGTTTTTTGTTTTTAATGGCAAAATAAACGATGATAATGTTTATTTATCGCAAAAATAACACCGGATACTGAAAGAGCATACTCAAAAACCCCTGGGTATGGATTTTCAAGAAAATATTTTAACTTTATCTATAATTTTTTTACAACAGAAAATTCATGCACAAAATTGCACTTTTGCTCGTTAATGGGTTAACATAAATTTTGTGATAATATCTGCTTTAAGAACGGATTATAACTTTTTTAATTCAACTAGGTTGAATCCTTCGACGATTATGAATGATGTTTAAAAGTGAAGCTAAATCATTTATCCTATTCCTGAAAATGATAGGTGATTGAGCACGCCAATCACCCGCGGCGTGAGAGCAGCAGTTTTTTAAATATTCTTGAGGATCCATTTGCTCGATATTACACATTTATAGAAGTACTTAGTTTTAGCGAGTCAAAAAAATTTTCCAGAGAAATCGTTACCTAGTTAGAATTTTAAACTGGTTCAAATATTGTAGAATGTATAATTGTAAACAATATCGTAGTAAATAATTCTGACATAGTCTCTCGACACACTCATCGTATTTATAGCGAAAATAAGTTAGTTTGAATGTTGTCTTTCCCGATGAAACAAGACATAATACCGAGATAAATTTAACCGATTTATTTTTCGTGATACTAAATAGAAGAATCCGTCGTTAAATTCAGGCACTAAAATGGATAAAAGTGAGAAGAAATCCGTGGAAGTGGTCGCAGACGACAAAAAATATGCTTGTGATATTTGTCCGGAAATATTTACAATAAAATCAAATATGATTTTACATCGATACACTGTTCACAGTGAACAAGAAAAATATGCGTGTGACAGATGCGAGAAGAAATTTGTGATGAAATCGTGTTTGATTATGCACCGAAAATTAGTACACAGAAATCGTGAGGATTTCACGAGCAAAAAATGCGAGAAAACATTTGAAAATGAATCAAGTTTACTCACGCACAAAAACATATTTCACGAAGTTTTCAAAAATTACTCATGTGAAATGTGTGCGAAGAGATTTGATACGATACAAAGTTTGATCCTTCACATAAAAACAGACCACGAAGGTCGCAAAGAATATGCATGTGATAAGTGTGAGAAAAAATTTTCACATGAAGCGAGTTTGCTCTACCACCAAAAGTTAGTACACGAAGTTCAAACATATTACTCATGCAACAAGTGTGAGAAGACATTTGTGACTCAAGGCGTTTTGACTAGGCACCGAGAAACGGTCCATGAAAATCGAAAAAATTACTCATGCGAAGATTGCGAGAAAATATTTGAAAATGAATCAAATTTACTTAATCACAAAAAAGTATTCCATAAAGTTTTTAGAGACAACTCATGTGAAATTTGCACTAAAATATTTGGTAATAAATACAGTTTGCTCTTGCACATAAAAACCGTCCACGAAGTTCGCCAGAATTACCTTTGCGATAAGGGCGAGATAAAATTTGAAAGTAGATCAGATTTTTCGATGCACCAAAGAATATTACACGAAAGTTGTAAAGATTATGCGTGCGACAGGTGCAAAAAGAAATTTACAGAAAAATCGACTTTACTCACCCATTTAAAGACAGTCCACGACGGTCGCAAAGATTATGTATGCGACGATTGCGATAAGACATTTGGTCAAAAATCTCATTGGATCAGGCACAAAAATACAGTTCACGATGGTCGCAAAGATTTCGTATGCGACAAGTGCGAAATGCAATTTGGACAAAAATCACACTTACTTTGCCATCAAAGGACGGTCCATAAAGGTCGAAAAGATTTCGCATGCGACAAATGCGAGAAAAAATTTGGACATAAATGGACTTTGCTGGTACACCAAAGGACGATCCATGAAGGTCGAAAAGATTACACATGCAACGATTGCGATAAGACATTTGGACTAAAAGGAGATTTTGTCAGACACCTTAAGACAGTCCATGAAGGTCGCAAAGATTACGCATGCGGCAGATGTGAGCGAAAATTTGGATTAAAGACACATTTGGTTATACATCAAAAGACAGTCCATGAAGGTCGCAAAGATTTTGTATGTGATAAGTGCGAGAAAAAATTCGGACACCAATCGGGTCTGTTTTACCACCAAAAGACAATCCACGAAGGTCGGAAAGATTACGTTTGCGATAATTGCGACAAGAAATTCGGACAAAAATCGACTTTGCTCTTACACCAAAGGACAGTGCACGAAGGTCGCAGAGATCATGCATGCGACAAGTGCGAAAAAAAATTTGGGATACGCACAGCTTTGTTCGTACACCAAAAAACAGTCCACGATGGTCGGAAAGATTTTGCATGTGACAAATGCGAGAAGAAATTTGGACATAAACAGAATTTGTTGATCCATGAAAGGACAGTCCATGAAGGTTGGAAAGATTACGCTTGCGATAGTTGCGAGAAGAAATTTATAACAAAATTGAATTTGTTATGCCATCAAAGGACAATTCATGAAGGTCACAAAGATCATGCATGTGACAGGTGTGAAAAGAAATTTACAAAAAAATCGAATTTACTCACCCATCTAAAGACAATCCACGAAGGTCGCAAAGATTATGCATGCAACAAGTGCGAAAAGATATTTTCAAAAAAATCGACTTTACTCACCCATCTAAAGACAGTCCATGAAGGTCGCAAAGATTACGTTTGCGACGATTGCGATAAGGCATTTGGAACTAAAAGCAATTTAGTAAACCACCAGAAAAAAGTTCATGAAAGGCTCAAAAATTACGCGTGTGACAAATGCGACAAGAGATTTGGTCAAAAATCTCATTGGATCAGGCACAAAAATACAGTTCGCGATGGTCGCAAAGATTTCGCATGCGAGAAGAAATTTGAACGAAAATCACATTGATCGTTGCACCAAAAAACAATTCATGAGTGTCACAAAGATTACGCATGTAACACGTGTGAAAAGAAATTTGGAGAAAAATCGAAATTGGCCAGACACCAAAAGACCGTTCACGAATGTCGTAAAGTTTCGCATGCAAAAAGTGCGAAAAAAAATTGGACAAAAACTGCATTAATTGTTCACCCATCAAAAAACAGTCCACGAAGGTCGCAAAACATGCTATAATTGTGATGAGAAATTGAGCCATTAATCGAGTTTGCTGTATCACCAAAAGGCAGTACATCATGAAACTTGCAAAGATTTAATGATTTACAATTGTAAATATATGTATAAATACTTACACAAATGTATTTTAAAATTTTAATAAAAATTCTACCGAAATGATTATGTCTTACATAAACCTCGCGTGCTATCAACTATTATTTCACCTTTGTTGAATTTCATGGTAGTGTTTTATTTTCAACTACTCGGTTACCTGCAGCTCTTCATGCAACGATTAGCCCCAAGTGGTTTTTTCATGGTTTATTCGGAGCTGGGAATGGAGCGAGTCTTTAGTTGACCACTGGATTTTTGATAAACTTCACGTAATAATATCACGTCTCTGAATTAATCAAACATGTCATAGGGAAATATTTAGATAAATTTGCTGTCAGACTGATTATATTTATGCTAAGCGAAAACTTGGAAACCAATTAATAATATAATTTAAACTAAAAAGTATTCTCTGCATTTCTTTAAAATTAGGAAAAGCTCTCATAATTTACTAATACTTCCCTTAGTATTTTATTAATTGAAAATCATATATTAATGTCCTTCAAATGAGAGATTGCGTGGAAGCGGCAATTTTTTATAATTCGCCTGTAAATGGAAGGGTTTCAGTTGAAATAAAATACAGTTGAAGAATATTTTTATAATGCAATTATTGTTGAATGGAGTTTTTAAAGTATATTTTCAAATGAATCAATTTTAAAAAGTAATAGGAACATATCATATTAATTATAATAATGCGAAACAAATAATTTTGATCAGAAATACAAAAGTATAAAAAAGCAAAAATTGAAGATAAGTTCAATTCTTCCTTCCACCTCCATATTGAGGATTGTTGGGGTTGAGTTGATTGGCGTGGTTGGATCCGCCTTTCCACTGTCCATGATTTGGATTAAGTTGATTTGCGTGGTTGTCGCGGTTGGCTTGGCCTTGGGCAGTGTTACGATCAGACATCTGTAAAAATAATAAAGCATACAAAAATTATATTAGTTTTATTCTAAGACAGACTGTCAAAATATAAATATTTCATAATTAATTTAATTGCATTAACATCAGTCAGTGAAATTATCAATGACTATGCTCGAAGTCTATGAAATTAAATGGCAAAGAATTAATGCATCTAGATAAATGAAACATGAGTGAATGTAGAAAAAAAACCCGTTGACACTCGAAACTAAAATGCACTACTAAATAAATGACACACTCTATTATTTGGAAATATTTCACTTAATCACTTAAACTGCATTAAGATCGCAAATCTTCTATAGCTATCGTTACTCAAACTATATGAAATTAAAAGATTTGCAATGAATGCATCGAGACATGTTAAAGCTTGAATGATTAATAATGATTATTAATGTCGTGAAAATGAAAATCATAATTGCACTGTAGAATCAGCAAATTCAAATTTACAAAATTTTTATCACAACACAGTTTGATAATAGAAAAATATCTGTTACTATTCGAAGCTAAAACGCATTACTAAATTAACTACACCGTCGATTATTCGAAAATATTTCACTGGTCGCACAAAAAATTATATAAAATTTCGAAATCCTTTTTTTTTTAAATAAACTTGCATATCTAATTTTTTTTTACTTACATCGATTGAAAATTTATTTTTTCAAAAATTCACAATTAGTTTATCTTCAAACGAAAGATCGTCGAGGACTGTAATGCATCTTGAGATCGACACGCGCTTTTATAAGGCGAACAAACCTCAATAGGGAATCCCACGCAGGGAATCACACTGCAACTGAATACTTGCCTTTGTATGCAATTATATGCACTATAAATAGTCTGAAAGCTTGCAGCTGTACCCCCACATTTTCATTTTTTCGGTGTGATTCCCCGAAAGAGAATGCCTGTATACGATATGCAGGTTTATGCCCATTGGCCGGGAACCACACACAGTCATTTCATACGTGACATTTCTTGTTATTCAATACTTAAATACTTCGACTCTAAAAATTGGAATATTTTGCCCAAGAATTTAAATCTATTAAAAGATGCAAAAGTTTTATTTGGTAATGAGGTATTATTGAAATACATACTTTACATTGTTTAAAAATTAAAAAGCAACCCAAATGCAAATAGTAAGATTAGTAAGTAGAAAATTAATCGGTCATTCACAGATCACTTGCAGTTTAACTTGAAACTTGTATGAATACATTCATTAATTAAATAATCTTATGTTTGATTTTAACAAAATGATTTTGTTTTTCGACGCATTAAAGAGTATTTCGTTAGTTGCTAAGCAAGACATTTAAGTCAATATGAATTCGAAAAAAATAAGGTTTGAAAGTTATTACTATAGACGATTTTTTACTTCTTCATCAAGGAATCTCTGAAATTTTTTTTTTTAAGTTCGTAAAAATTATCCTCATTTCTCTTCAACATGAATGAATTTTGAAGGAAGAATATAACTCAAATTGGCCATAACAGTTCTATTAATTTATACAAAAGTAAAAATGAGCACACAAATTGTTACTTGTATTCTGATATACTGTATTTGTAAGCTGTGTCAGCGCGAATCAAAGTATAGCGTGACTTTTTGAACGAGGACGACAATTTCAAGCTTTTGAATGTTCATTTCGGTATGGTTTTGATTCATGGAATTTGAAATTGAATTTGAATGCGGCAATGAAGCAAACATTAAACGCATTGCAATGAGAATCAACGCATTTTTGAATATAATTGAAATTGCAAATTTTCATCAATCAAAAATATTAGGGATAACGTGACGTAATTTAAGTAATAATGATATATATTAGTGAAATTTTAATTTAAAAAACCACGCTGTTTTAAGCTTGTATTGGATATGAAAATGTACACCGAGAAAAAATTTTACAGTTGCTGAACGCATGCATTTTTCCTTTTTCCGATGTTCAAATAGTATTTTTTTTGAAAAATTTAAATCCCCTTTGAATGTACTATAAGTGCGTTACGGTAGAGACTTGAGTACATCTATGGAAAAATAAAATCGAGACCACTGTAATTTTTATTTCAAAATGAAAATTGAGCTTTTGTTGAACGTGGCTACGCTATAGCAGAATACAAGCTGGTTAGGAGGAAATTCAAATGTACCATGCATAAGTTGTTGAGTCGAGAGTGTGTATTGTATCACGCAATTGACTTGAATAGTTGAAGAGCGCTTGAAATTTGACATTATGTATGTACTTTGAGCTTTATATAATAATAATAATAATGCTCTCTCTCACTCATTCACTCACAAATAGCTTTCGGTCCCGTTGTTGATTTTCAATAAATATTTAGCGACTAGAATAATTATAAATAATTACGCAAGATTCACTTGCTGGCTTTGAGAACTGAAAATCATTACAACTGCAGTTTATTTGTTTATGTGTTTATTATCATTATTTTCGCGTAACTCGGTGTTGCAATTGCGATATGGATTATCGATACGATTGCGCTCGACTAATACGTTTTTTTTTCGAAGCCTGTTGTCCTGTTGTTTTGCGATGTAACTACCTGCAATTATTAGATATGCATTTCGCCAAAACAACAATTGCCATCGTGCGAGCATCAGTTGGCTCATTGTGACCGTCGCGTCGAGAGAATGGCGGCGAGAGCAATCCCGACTCACTCGGTGGTAACCGTACCTAAGGCCCCCTTCGTCATGCAATTGAGCGTCGACGATCGTTTCAGCGGCTTATTGATCGACCTATTGAACGAGCTGGCTAGACACTTGCGCTTCGAGTACAAAATAGCGGTGCTGATGCGTCAGCCGGTCGTGCCCACGACTTTGTTCAGGTGAGCTACAACGCGATTCAACGATTTAACGAATTTCCATATTGAAAACTATATACTTTTGATGCTTAGATTTTTGACCATCCTCGAAGTGGACGTGTGGCTCTTCATCATCGGGGCTTACTTTCTGAAGAGCTTGCTGATCTGGATATTCGACGCGTGGTCGCCTTACAGCTATTAGAACGTCGTGAAAAATCCGAAGAGGGCCGGGGTGGACGAGAAGGACATCGACGACGAGTGCAAGCGCATCTTCAGCCTGCGCGAGTCGCTTTGGTTCTGTCTGACGTCGCTGACGCCCCACGGCGGCGGCGAGGTGCCGAGAAACCTGTCGGGCCAGCTCGTAGCCGCGACCTGGTGGCTCTTCGCTTTCATCGTCGTGGCCTATCTCGCCTCCTTTCTCACCATCGGCAAATTCGATCGAGAGCTTCGACGACTTGTTTATCTCTAATGACCACATCGACATTTCGATCAGTTCAGTTAGCAATTGAATATGAAGTTTTCAATAAAAATCCTGAAAATTTTTTCTAATGGTCACTTTGATTTTTCGATAAATTTTTTCATCATTTGAATTGAATGTTTTTTAATGTATATATTCTCAATTGATATGATGTATACATTATAAAACCATTATTTAAACCATTAAACCATTATTTATACATTATTAAACAAGTCAAGTATACTTTGTTAGTTTTGAAGTCGATAGTACTGCGCTATGTTGTCTACGAAGTATAATTATGAATGTGCAGCTGCTAGGCAGAGAAGGAAAAAAAGGAAGAGAGAGCTCATGTCATTTAAAATAATATGACAATGCGATAGGCGTTATGTAAGATTTTTTATTTCACAGACTATTTTTAAATGTTAATAACAAAATCAAAACTTAATTGTTTTATTTATGTATTATGATCATGTTGAAAGACTGCAGAATTACATACAAATTAAGAAAAATTATAAGGAGCTTTTATTCAATTTATATACTCATTATTACACTCAATGTTAAATAAAGACCGTTTGAAGATTCATTCGAGTGTTACTAATATTATTGTTTCTATACTATCGAAGATTAAGTTTATTCAATCCGCATCGATCTGGAAGTGTTTAATACAAATTGGACGACACTTCTAACTTCTACGCGCACTCGCACACGAACATAATTGTTTCAAATTTAAAATGTTAAATTTTTTCACGAGAATCACTTCTTACAGTCGATACGATCTTTCTGTGTTGTACACTAAACCGAACGACTCGACCTGCTTCGAGACGAGTTAGTTCAAGTTAGTTAGTTCATTAATTATAATAAAAACACATGTATCGCACACCATAAAATGAGATGTAAACTTTTGGAGCACGTTCGCCGACACATTATATTATTTATTTTACTGTTGAATATAGTATTGTGTTTAATACGCCACTCAAGTATGGGTTTAAATTATTTTAGAATAGATGCTGCTGCTCGACTGAACAAAAATGTTTGGACTAAAATTTATAATTTTGAAATAAGAAAATTTCTTAAAAATTATTCACAGAAACTAAAAACTTTTCTATCAGGGCATGAATGTATTTTGTCACGGAGAATTACTATAGCATAAAATTATTTCTCGTGAACCAACTATTTTATTCAAAACTTTTACTGATTATTTGAAATTCAAATTTTCATTTAATTGAAAATCTATAATCTATAGTTACACTGTAAGAATACAAAAAACTTTCATATCATTCTATACCTGTATAACTCATTGATATACGAGCATTCTTATCCAAAAGTCTGATATTTATGATGATTAGGAAGATTGCTTTATCTTAGATTATTGGTGTATTTTACTAAGGAATTTGACTTACATTTGAGTTCGTTGGTCCCTCATGAAAATTTTAGAATAGATTAAAAAAGGTATGTTTAATAGAAGTACTTTTCATTGTTTAATGAAGAAATCTCTTAAAATTTTCATACGATTGATGCAACATGTTCTAATCGTAAAAATAAAATAACATGCCATCAAATTACTTTCCGTGGTAAATAATGTTTTATTTCTGAGAACCAACGTACATGAAATGATCGTGTGTGATTTCCGGCCAATGGGCATAAAACTGCATATTGTATACAGGTATTCCCTCTCGGGGAATCACACCGAGAAAATGAAAACGTGGGGGTACAGCTGCAAGATATCAGACTATAGTGCATATACCTGCATACAAATGCAAGTATTCAGTTGCAGTGTGATTCCCTGCGTGGGATTCCCTGTTGAGGTTTGCTCGCCTTATAAAAGCGCGTGTCGATCTCAAGATGCATTACAGTCCTCGACGATCTTTCGTTTGAAGATAAACTAATTGTCCATTTTGAAAAAATAAATTTTCAATCAATCAACGTAAGTAAACAAAAATTTAGATAGGAAAATTTATTTTAAAAAAAGTGATTTCGAAATTTTAAATAATTTTTTGTGCGTCCAGTGAAATATTTTCGATTTTGAATCGAGGGTGTAGTTAATTTAGTTATGCGTTCTAGCTTCGAGTAGTAACAGATATTTTTCTATCTTCAAACTGTGTTGTGATAAAAATTTTGTAAAATTTAATTTGCTGATACTACTGTGCAATTGTAATTTTCATTTTCACGACATTAATAATCACTCATGCTTTAGCATGTCTCGATGCATTCATTGAATATCTTTAAATTTCATATAATTTGAGTAAAAACATCGACAACTATAGAAGATTTGTGATCTTAATGCAGTTTAAGTGATCAAGTGAAATATTTCCAAATAATCGAGTGTGTCATTTATTTAGTAGTGCATTTTAGTTTCGAGTGTCAACAATTTTTTTTTCTATTTCTAAGCTGTGATGTGATAGCGACTTTTTTAAATTTAATTTTATGATGTATAATATTCACTCATGTCTCATTTATCTAGATGCATTAATCCTATGTCATTTAATTTCATAGACTTCGAGCATAGTCATCGATAATTTCACTGACTGATGTTAATGCAATTAAATTAATTATGAAATATTTATATTTTGACAGTCTGTCTTAGAATAAAACTAATATAATTTTTGTATGCTTTATTATTTTTACAGATGTCTGATCGTAACACTGCCCAAGGCCAAGCCAACCGCGACAACCACGCAAATCAACTTAATCCAAATCATGGACAGTGGAAAGGCGGATCCAACCACGCCAATCAACTGAACCCCAACAATTCTCAATATGGAGGTGGAAGAAAGAAGTGAACTTATCTTCAATTTTTGCCTTTTTATACTTTTGTATAAAATATCATCAAAATTATTTGTTTCGCATTATTATAATTAATATGATATGTTCCTAATACTTTTTAAAATTGATTCATTTGAAAATATACTTTAAAAACTTTATTCAATAATAATTGCATTATAAAAATATTCTTCAACTGTATTTCATTTCTACTGAAACCCTTCCATTTAGAGGCGAATTATAAAAAATTGTCGCTTCCACGCAATCTCTTATTTATGGACATTAATATATGATTTTCAATTAATAAAATACTAAGGGAAGTATTAGTAAATTATGAGAGCTTTTCCTAATTTTAAAGAAATGCAGAAAATACTTTTTAGTTTAAATTATATTATTAATTGGTTTCCAAGTTTTCGCTTAGCATAAATATAATCAGTCTGACAGCAAATTTATCGAAATATTTCAATATGGCATGTTTGATTAATTCAGAGACGTGATATTATTACATGAAGTTTATCAAAAATCCAGAGGTTAACTAAGAACTCGATCCATTCCCAGCTCCGAATAAACAATGAAAAAACCACTTGGGGTTGCATGAAGAGCTGCAGGTAACCGTTGTTTATTTTTGTCTAAATTGCATTTCGCACTTGTCGCATGCGAAATCTTTGCGACCATCGTGAACTATATTTTCGTGCCTGATCTAATGAGATTTTTGACCAAATGTCTTATCGCAATAATCACGTACGTATTCTTTGCGACCTTCGTGAACAGTTCTTTGATGTCTAGCCAATTTCGAGTTTTCTCCAAATTTCTTTTCGCACCCGTCGCACGCGTATTTTTCTTGTTCACTGTGAACAGTGTATCTGTGTATTATCATACTTGATCTAATTGTATATACCTCTTCACAAATATCACAACCATGTTTTTGGTCGTCTGGTTTTTGGTCGAACTTCCATGGATTTCTTCTCACTTTTATCCATTTTAGTGCCTGAATTGAACGACGGATTCTTCTATTTAGTACCACGAAAATTAAATCGGTTAAATTTATTTCAGTATTATGTCTTGTTTGATCGGGAAAGACAACATTCAAACTAACTTAGTTTCGCTATAAATACGATGAGTGTGTCGAGAGACTACGTCAAAATTGTTAACTATGATATTTCTTACAATTATACATTGTACAATATTTGAACACGTTTAAAATTCTAACTTGGCGACGATTCCTTATTTTTTTTTTGAAGTTCAAACGGCTCAGCTTGAAAAATGATCTGTAGTACATGTACGATACGAGTAAAATTTTGTGCACATCGACGTTCTTTAGAGCATTTCACTGTATGCTTACCGAAATTGAGATTAGTCAAAATGGAAACTTTGTACACTTTCTCATCGATTATACTTGCCTACGAATATCGGAGATTAAACGGCCGCGACGCAGCTCGCACTAATATAGCCATACAAACTTCGTAGCCTATGAAAATCGTTGTCTACTATTTCAACTGCTTTGATTGGTTGTAGGGTAGCTCTAAGCAATCCTCTCTATAAAGCCTATTGAAATCAGTCAAAACCAAAATTTTGTAAACCTCCTCTCCAATTATGCTCACCTTATGATTTCGGTGTTGGGTGTCACTTTGATCCCGTCTCGCTCGAAAAAGTGAGAGGCTGAATTCAATGTGTGCGGTACGATCAAGTCCCCCGTAGTTAGCCAAGCTCTTTTTGAGATTTTTTCACGCCTATTGAGAAGAGTCAAAATCGAAATTTCGTACACCAGCTCTTCGAACATGATTGCCTTATATAGACTGGTTACATTAATGAGATATACGACTGAGATTTGCAACTCACTATTTCGACGTTTTCATGTTTCTTCTCTTGAAAGAGTGATGGGCTGAATAGCGTAAGTAATTCATAAACATTTTGATTGGTTGTACTGCGGAATTATTTCCTTCAAAAATGAGCAGCTGAATATGTGCGGTACGTACGAGTAAATACACGCCTACAGCAATGCTAATTGGGACGATTTTACGAATATCTATTGAAATTAGTCAAAACCAACATTTTTTATACTTTCTACTCAATCATGCTTTCCTGGTGTATGAGTGGGACAAGTAATACTTACACCGCCAGTAACTCATTTTTCCATGATTTCTGCTTCTCTTTAAAAAGTGGTGGGCTACATAGAAGTAGTTTATATATGCACGTTGCCGAGTCTAAAAACATTCCGAAAATTGTTTAGAAGAATTTTTTTAAAAACTAATCCTTTTTGGACCCGGTAACGCTTGATTTCGGATATTTTACATTTTATGTTTGAAAAAATTTGAAAATGACCAAATTGGACAACAAAAATCTATATGAAAAGCCGTAGGTTTCGATGTAGCTACAGCGTTGATTGATACATAAAATAACAACAGGATCGAACAATTCCAACAGGTTAGTGACCGCGTTTTGACTTAAACTAATATTTTTACTTTACCACTAGTAGATTTACAGTTAAACTGATAAACTGTAAATGATTCATTTGCTTACAAAAAGTTTGTAGTACTCGAATGTTTTCAATTGAATAATTATTTTATAATATTTATATTTTTGATATTCGCACAGATAATCGGTCACGATGAGATGTCGTGGTAATAAGTACACAATTTAAGATTATTTACTTCAAATGATCGATGTCTTATGAATAAAAAAATCGAAACTCACTTTTTATTTAAAATATTTTTATTTGAATTTTAAGGAAAATATGCCAATTATTTAAGAAAATGCTACGAACTTCGGGCTGCAAATATGCCATAAGTTTTCGTTATCGAAAGAATCATCGATGGTCATTCTGCAGCACTCAACCAGCAGCTTATAGCCTATCAGCTGCATGAAGGAAGCCTCCTCGTGTCTACTCGAGGGAATCACTAATTCGTTGTAGTCCTTATATACTTGAATCGTTTCTGTAGGTCGTAATCGAGTGAGGTCGTAGAGCGACAGGTTTGGCTTTACCGCTGTAATTTTCACTCTGCTCGCGATTATTTCTCTGTATATTTATGAAAACGCGGTCGTTTATAAAAAGAAAACGAGTAGATTTAACTGTTTAACTTGACTATTTCTTCTGCGTGAAATACAATTTGCTAATTTGCTAAAGCCACGTAGCGGCGACACGTCTGACTATTGCGCGTACATCAACAGGTAATTTCTTGGTGTAAGAGGATGTCATGAGAAGTTGTTGGAGTATATCCTGTCAATTTTAAATGATTGTTTACCTGGTAGAATAAAATCGAATGGAAATATATTAGTAGTTGTCTAATTTCACTAGCGACTGCATGGATAAAAATCCAATAGATTTGTCAAAACCGAAAGAAGTCAAATTCAACAGCAACTGCAATGTTTTATGTTCTGATAAAACTTTTCAAATTTTTCTTTCTATACGGATGCACTTTTTATTCACAGATCTTGAGGCAATACATTTATTCTATTTTAATAATTTATTGTTGTATTATATTGTGGATCTTTCATCTATTCAAAAAAAAAAAAAATGTTTACATTTCGTACGATATTTATAATATTAATTTGCTTTATAATTTCATAAAATAAGTGATCATTGTTTTTTAAAATTTGAACAAATGAAATGTTTATATTTTTGAATAAAAAATTTCGCACCTCAATTTTCATAATTTACATTCTGTCAAAAACTAAAAAACCTCGTGTATACCTACGAACGATTGTATCGCGTCTGTTGATACTGTATCTATAGAAACGCCGAATTACTTGTTTACGTCGGCTGCAGCTCCATTGTTGTGAGACATCGCTAACGGTATAGATCCACGTGTGTTGCAATGTCGGAAGGTACAGTAATTCAAAACATTATTGATGTGATGCATTTTGTTGAATCTTTAGTGTGTTATTTTAAATCATTAATAATAATGCGTCAGCCAACGAATCAATCGACGGCGAAGAGGAAGAAGCAGTCGTCATACCGCCACAGGAATCGTTCCACTGGGAGGATTACATCTCGCGGCCGATTGTATCGGAAAATGGCACGGTACCGGCCAACATTTTGGAGTTTCAGTAAGTCGAATGCGCCTATAATGAAGAAAATTAAAAAAAAATCGAGTGACGTTATCGTAAAAACTTTGCCCAGACACTCGTTCGGCTACGACTGCCAGAAGCGCTTCAATCTGTGCGTGGCCGATCCCGACTGGCTGATATTCGCCTCGGGCAATCTCATACACTTCTACAACGTCGGCCGCGACGAGCTGACGTTCAAGCGATGCTCCACCGGCGGCGGCATCGGCCACATAACCGTACGTAAACATGATTATCATACGCCGGAATAAAGTTCTAAATTTCTCCCAACACTTTTACAGAAAAATCCTCAAAGGCCGCACATAGCCGTGGGCGAGAACGGCATAGATCCGCCGATCATCGTCTACGAGTGGCCGAGCATGGAGATAGTCACGGTGCTGCGCAACGGCACCACTCGCTCCTACTCGCATCTGCGCTACAGTCCCCAGGGCGACAAGCTCGTGTCGCAGGGCGGCGAGCCCGACTACCTCATCACCGTGTGGAACTGGGAGCAGTCGACGGTCGCCCTCCAGTGCAAGTCCCACAGTCAGGACGTGTACAACGTCGTGTTCTCGGAGACGATCCCGGGCCAGCTGGTGAGCTGCGGCCTCGGCCACATCAAGTGCTGGAAGATGGCCGACACGTTCACGGGCCTCAAGCTCCAGGGCGAGCTCGGCCGCTTCAGCAAGACCGAGATCTCGGACATAATCGGGGTCTATCCGATGCCCGACGAGAAGATCGTATCGGGCTGCGAGTGGGGCAACATGCTCGTCTGGAACGAGGGCCTGATCAAGATCGAGGTCTGTCGCAAGAGCGGCAAGCCGTGCCACGCCGACGGCTACATCACCCAGTTCGAGTATATCAGCGGCGAGCTGGTGACGGTGGGCACCGACGGCTGGATCTACTTCTGGTTCTACGACACGATCGACCAGTCGGAGCCGAGCGAGGACAATAACCTCGTGGAGGTCGAGCCGATCTACGAGTTCAGCGTGGGCCAGCAGTCGGACAGCAATCCGCTGGCGAGGCGGGCCCGGCTCATGCAGATAATCCGTCGGGAGGAGCCCTCGGCTACCGAGGGCGCGGGCAGCAGCCACCACTGGTACGCCCAGGACGGCAACGGGGGCATCTGGCTGCTGGACCTGTCGACGGCCCACTGGGAGACGGCCGTGCCGAGGAGGCTGATGTCGTGCCACGCCGGTCCCGTGGAGGACGTGGCCGCCTGCGACTGGGCGCCCATGTGCGCCAGCTGCGGACGCGACGGACGACTGAGAGTCTACGACTACTGGAGGAAGAGGCTCGTGCTGGAGCATCAGTTCAGGGATCGGGCCCGCGGACTCGTCTGGTTGCCCTGCGATGCGAGTATTTTATTTTCGCTTGAGTATAAATATCTGCTTTTCCGACGCTTGACTAAAATTCTTAACGTTTTTACATTTATGCAGCTTGCTTATTTACTTTAACGCTATTTAAAGTATATCAATGGATAGGAAATTTCCTATCTATTATTATTATATTATATTGAATACATGCATTTGATTAGTTGAAAAGTCTAAATATTCTTGTAAATTTGATTTTCACACAAAAAATCGATAAATCTACTTCTCAGACACTAATCTCTCAGTTGATGCTGCGTATTGTAATTTCGATATATTAATCTTGAATTTTGTATAAAAGGTCTATAAATCCTCAACTATAAACCGTAAAATTTTTCAACTCTTAGAGCTCGAATAATTATCCAAATGTTCGATAACTAGAACTCAAAATTTCAACTTTTGTCTACTTTTCGGATACTTTTTGGGTACTTTATAAAACTTCAATTGTTACGTTTCATCACTCAGATTGAATATTAATTTGTATTTCAATTTCTTTCGAATCATCAAGTCAAGCTTTTTATTTAGTGTTCGATTACTAGTAGTTGCTTCCTATAAAATATGATTCTATTGACGAGTATCGACTCGCAGGTGGAACCGAGTGGATCGAGCATCGTTTGCGGCTTCGACACGGGTGTCCTGCGCTTGGTCGCCTTGGATCTAGAGCCTTCAGAAGACAGAGAACACGAGCGAGTTCACCTCTGTCAGATCTACCGAGCGCACACCGAACCGATCGTTCGTCTGGCGATCGATCCCCAGCACAAGATCCTCGTGAGCTTCAGCCGAGACTCGAGCCTCTTCGTCTTTCAAATCCTAAGCAGCGACCGATCCTACCCGCGACTCGTGCCGATCGGCTACCTGAGTCTTCCCTCGCCGGCCAGCAGCTTCGCCTGGAAACCAAACGAAACTAGCACGATACTCGTGGGCTGCTCGCGCGGTCAGTGCCTCGAGGTGCGCCTGCCCACCGAGCCGCAGGCCTACACCAAGATCAGCTACAAACTGAGCGAGCTGCGACCCTGCGAGTTCACGTTCAGATCGGTCAAGTCGGCGATCCTGAGGGAGCAGGCGAGGCTGGAGCTCGAGGCCAATCGCTACGAGCGCCGATTGCAAAAGATCCAGGAGCTGCAGGACTTCAAGAAGAACAATCCGGGCATGGAGGTCGACGAGGAGGCTTTCCTGGGTGAGTTTTTATTACGCGATCGACGATTTTTTACTTAAATTTATCTTCGATCAGAGTCGGGCATGGAGGACGAGGACGGCCTGCCCGACCTCTACGTGCCCGAGGTGCCGAGCGAGGTGCTCACCTGCATGTACAACTCGCGGGGCCAGCCGCAGCTCAGCATGTCGGGCTACGACGCCGGCTACGTCTACGAGTACAGCATCCCCGAGAACAATAACGACGAAGTGGAGCATCTGAGAAGCGTACCGATCGCCGACGCCTCCGACGAGGAGATGACCTGCCACCTGTCCTACAACGCCGGCAGGTATCTGATCCTCGGCACGCAGCACGGAGCTCTGAGGGTGTGCAGGATCAAGCCCGAGGACGAGGCCGACTGGTCGGACTACTGGTCGCTGCCGATGCACGACTACTACACGGGCCGAGTGCAGGCCCTGTGTCTCGGCTACGATCGCAGGACCTTGGTGTCCTGTGGATTAGATGGCAATGTATTCACCTACGACATCAACGACGATGCGCCTCTGGGCGACGAGTTCAAGATACCGAAACCGATTGCCAGTCGCGATCACATCGTACGTAATTTTCTCTATAATAGCGTCAATTAGCTCAGATGTATAAACGAATGCGCTAAATGGATACGTCGAGCAAGACACATGATTCGGTTCCCACTTAAAATTTATTGTTTTTATTTTTTTTAATTTAGACTATATTTTCATGTTTACGCCTACAGTGAGACAACACACAGCAAAAGCATAAAAATGAAGTTTTTCTAATTAATCTTCTGAAAAAATTTACCAGATCAACTTAGCTCACGAATAAATCTTTTTAGTATGAATAATCTTTTTTCACGAAAAAATTTGAATTTAAAAAAAAATAATTGTATATTATCTGACCCATTTGAAATGATTTAGTATTATAATAAAATTGTATACTGAAGCCATGAAGAAGCGACGTGATTTCGATCAATGTATCGCATTTATTTATGCAGCCGACGACTAAAGTCTGGGACATCGAGGAGGCCAACTATCCGAGCCTCGAGCAAGTCATCGTCAAGGCCGAGATGGACCGCATCAAGGCCAACGCCAAGGACGACAAGGAGAGGACCCTGGCCGCCCTGCGTCAACTCACCGAGGAGTACAACTCGCTGCTCAGGAGGTAGCGCGATTTGTTTTTCTCGATGCAGCGAGCTCGAACTACATCTTGCCCCTCTCATGTGTCGTTATTTACCCAGAAACGACAAGCTGCCGGCTTCGCAGCGGCTCACCGAGCAGGAGCTGCAGCTCGACCCGAGGATCTCGGCGGACCTCGACGAGCAGCTCAAGGAGCAGATGGACATCGTCTATCGTAAATCCGAGTACAAGCAGGAAAAGTGTCGGCTGCGTTTGAAAAAACTCATGGAACACTTTATCGAGCCCATCACCTGCATACCTTTCGCCGTCAAGAAGATACTGTAAGTACATACCGCGCGTATGTTTTCGAGGTGTTTTTTCACTGATTGTCTCGCGCTCCGAAAATTTTTAGCAATCCGGATAGTATGGTGTGGTCCTTGAGAGAATTAAAATTAACCGGTGATTACGCGGTGGAAGAAAGGCACTCGCACGCCGATTCGCACGAGACCGACAGTGAGTAGAGATTGTTGTATAAATAGAATGTGCGAATAATCGAAAAACTCGACTCGATCGATTTGCAGAAGCCGAGGAGAGGCAGAAACGACGCAGCTCCATCGATCGTTTGAGGAGGTAAAATCGATATCTTTGTATTTTTCTTTAAAAAAAAATCATCACTCAAAACGATCTCGTGAATTTTCCGCAGATCTCGCGCCATGTCCGCTTACGTGGGAGATCTGGAGTCGGACAGCAAGCAGGAAGAGCCGACGATCGAGCCCTTCCTGAAGGGCCTCAGTCCTCGCACGATTCAGTACAAGCTCGGCGAGGAGATCAACCTGATGCTGAAAAAGTATCGGTCGCTCAAGGCGAAGCTGGAAGAGCAGGAACAAGAGGTGCTTATTCGCTGATGCATACATTTTTTTTCAAATAAAAAATTATACTCTGCGCAGTGGAAGAAGCTGCAGTCGGAGAGACCGGACCCGAAGGCCGTCGACCCGGAGGACGAGGAGGCGATCGAGCACGCCAAGAGGACCATCGGCGATTACAAGCTCAAGGCGTCCCTGGATCTGGACCTCGACAAACGGCCGACGGTCAAGAGCAAGTACAAGCAGATCATAGAGTGCAGGCGGAAAGTACGTAAAAAAATGTGATAGGGTGATCCTCGGATACATGTGTATTTATAAAAGCTCTTGACTGGATTTTACAATAATGATTTTCAAAACCCTAACTATGGAAGTAATTTCTCGCGCAGAAACTTAAGTTAGAACTTATGTAAAATCATCTGTGAATTATCATGTAAGACTTGAACCAAAAGTATAGACAAAAAAAGTATTACTTTTTGTAGCTCTATAGGTTTCTCGAAGCTAAAATCATAAAATATTTTCATCGTCAGATTCACTTCAGGCGCGAGGACTTCAACTCGAAAGTCCGCGAGATGCGTCAGCGCAAAGTCGACCTCATCAAGGAGGTCGAAAAGCTGCTCAAATCCCTGCGAGCGATCCAGAGCGAGCTGCCGGACGAGCTCACGAAGCCCCTGCCTCACCTACCCAGCCTCGACATGGACGTCGAGTTCCCGGAGAAGAAGCTCGAGATCGCCGAGTACACGCCGCTGGCGCAGCGTTTAAACGAGTCGAAGAATCGCCGCCAGTCCATCACCCAGGCGTACATGCCCGCGGACGAGTTCGACGAGGAGTACGCCGTCCTCATGCTGGACGAGAAGCGCTTCGTGCCCGAGCGATTTTTGGCCACCGTCGAGGGTGCCGGCGCGGCGGGCTTTCGCAAGCGCTTCCCCGAGGACACGAAACCCGTCAAGCTGCTCGTGCCGTTGGAAGTGATCGCGAGCATCGACGCCGCGGAGCGACTCGACACCGATCTCGAGCGAGAGCTCAAACGTTACCGGGCGGTGAGGAAGAAGCACGAGCAGGACCAGATGCTCGAGTACATCGATCACAGCTATCGAGTGTTCGACGAGGAGCTGAGCGAGCTCGAGCTCGAGCGCTTGAAGATCATCCACGAGAGCGTCTACATGGATCTGTACATGCTGACGCTGCACCAGGAGCTCGTCGTCCTCAAGAAATTCGAGGCCAAAGAGGTGAAGCTCGAGCAGCTCGTCGAGGAGCATCGCCGAATCATTGACGAGATCGAGGCAAAGATCTCACTGCTGACCGAGCAAACGGAGGAGAAGAAATTGACGGTGGCCAGATTGCAAGAGAAGCTCAAGGAGATGATGGCGCGATACTTGAGCTCGATTCAGGAGCAGAGGTATTCGCTCGTCTTGGCGGAGATCGCGAGAAAGTCCTACGAGTCGTCGTCCGATGCCAGCGCGGACGACGTGGCGAGTAGAAGCCCCGCTGCCGATGACAAGGACAAGGAAGACAAGAGGAGAACGACCAAGTATCAGGGAGACTTGGGCCATCGAGTGACAAGATTCCAAGACATGGAAAGCCGAGAAAACGTTCGCGAAGAGCAGCAGCCGCAGACGACGGATCGTCGAGCCTCCAAAGCCTTACCGAGGGTGAGTAGTTTGGCTCTGGTCGATCCGCAGCAACAAGGAGACGAGGACGAGGCTGGTGGTGGTGGTGGCGAGGGCGGCGATCTCGAGCTCTACGAGGAGGCCTACGCCGTGCAGAAGCAGTGCCGCCTGCTCGAGGGTTGCCTGAGCGAGGAGCAGAGGGCCCTGAGCGAGGCGAGCGAGGAGCTCGAGCGACAGAGGACGAGCCTGCAGGAGGCCCAGACAGACCTGGACGCCAGTACGCAGCGATTGGAGGGATTTCTCGTGAGTTGATTGGCAGACAATCGTGTCGCGACTGTCGAATCTCGTAACGATTTTTCATTGCAGCACGAGAAGCAACGGGAGCTCAACGACATCGATATGACAGTGATACTGAAGTTGGACCAGGTGCAGCTGCTCGCCGAGGGTTCGCACACGGAGAAGCTGCGCAACTGCATCGTCTTCGACAAGACGCGGCTGGCTCGGCTCTACGCCAGGGTCGGCGAGCTGCAGCAGGAGACGGACGAGCTTCGCGCCAAGCACAAGTCGGTAGTATATTATTATCTTGGAGAAAAAAATTAATCGATTGATTCTAAATGGAGAAATTTCGATTTCAGAAACAACAAGCAGCAACTGCGCAAAATCAAGATGGACTGCTCGTCGATGAAGGCCGAGCTCGAGGCGCTCAAGGGCCAAATCAAGACGGAGATGGAGAACAAATTCGGCCAGCAGATATCCCTCGTGTCGCTTTACGAGGCGGTACTGCGGCGGCTCATATACGACATCAAGGCCGACACGGGATCGCTCGTCAAGTTTTATCAAGAAAAAATACAAAGTATACACCTTGACGCGATCTGGCTCGTCTTTTGATGGTAAAATTTTTTTACCGATTTCGATTTACAGTGGTGAAAAGTCGCTACAAGCAGCAACTCGAGCAGTTGAAAGACCTCATCAAGGAGAACACGCACAAGTTAAGTTTGCTAGCGGTTCTTGAAGAGGAGTTGTTCAAGCTCAAAAAGGCCTGCAATGCCAAGATCATGTCCGAGGTATCTCACACTCGTTTCGCGCTGTAGTGTTTTTCGATATATTCTTTTGACCGATGAAATTTTCAGGAAGAGATAAAGAAGATCGAGTCCGATTACAAGGCCGATTTGAAGAAGCTGGAGAAGCGTCTGAAGAAGCAAGAAGAGGAGAAGGTGGCGATAATCAGCGACATCGAGAATCTTCAGAGCAAAACGAAAAATTTACTGCCTCTGAACGAATTGCTGTCCAAGAGCTGCTGTCAGAAGTCTACCGAACGAAGACGACCGACCTCCGTGACTCTGATCGACGGCAAAGAAAAGGAGGACGCCAAGAAGTCGGGCAGAAAAGTCAGGATGACGGAGGCAGCCGACGAAGTCGCCTCGGTGGCGAGCGAAACGGCGGCCTCGAGCGACGAAGGAGACGACGACGATGACGACGTGGACAAGGAAGCCGACCTGGCGGTCTTCGACGAGAACGAGTACTACAAAAAAGTCATCGCGGTGCGGCATCTGTTCTCGCAGATCACCTCGGGCCAGGAGTTCAATACCAAGTCGACGATCGACGCGATGCTCCAGGATCTGACCGACTGCATGATAAGGCGGGGCTACTCGCACGACCAGATCCAGCGCAGTCTGCAGGACATCGTGTCGAGCGCCGAGGGTCATGAGCAGTACGACGACGACGACGACAAGGCGACCGACGATCGGCGTTTAGACGACGACGACGATCTCGCCAAAGGCACAATGAGCCTCGGAGACTACATCTACAGCTACAGCTCGAGCTTCCGAGAGTCTGTGTGCAGTCGGGACGTGGACCCCCAGGCCGACGCCATCCTCCGCGACCTTTTCTCGGATCTGGGCATCGACGAGGACGAGCACGAACCGATGGTCCAGGGCGTGGTCAGCCGATTGCGCATGAGCGGAGGCGATCTCGCCGCGGCCGAGGACTTTATCTTCAAGAAGGCGCCGTCGGCCGCCGATCTCGCCGATCCCGCCCTCAAATCGTCGCGATCTCAGCGCATCAGACGCTCGCTGAACGACGTCAGACAGCACGTCGAATTCGAGGACACTGAGTTCGTGCAGTTGGTTCGTTTCTCTTTGTAATAATATTTCTGCGCAGGAATTCGGATTTTTTTTAAGGCTATGCATTTCTTCTTGCAGCAAGAGAATCAAGATCAATGAAGATTGAAGATCGGTAGAATAAAAACTAGCCGAAACTAGTTAAAGATTTTACCAGCAAGTGTAATGTTTAATGAAATAATGTAATTGTTGTTTTGATAATTCGTTCTACGTAATAACTGTTTATAAAAGAAAACGTAATGTGAATTTTCTGTTTGATTAATTCGTTTGATCAATTTCATAACTTAATAATGCTTGTATTTAAAATTAGATTTTAACGTCAATAATGAAACGCGAAACAAATTGAACATTTTTAATCATAAAGAAAAAAAAAAATAGTCCGATTATGTTGTTGAAACTAATTTTTTATGGTGTTAATAACATAACAAATTAACCCATAATACTATTGTCTAGCGATATAATATATCATATAGTATTATATAGATCGTGTTATGTAGCCCTTAACAATTTTAATGTTTTAACGCGTGTCACGCTTCCTCCGTATACGCCTTGCACATTATACGCGAGCTTACATACATGTACGGCGGGTCGCCTGCTTCAAGGCGTCGTCGCATGTTGTCGGCCGCGCACACTCACACATACATTCAAGCAACGGTTTGGCCTATACGCATGCCGTTGTAAACGCAGCCGTTGTATGAATATTATATTTATTTACAATAATTAGACCTACGTTATTAGCTCATAACAATCGGAACAACTTGAGAAATAAGGACCAGTCTACCATACAAATATAAGTTATTATAATTATTTATTCTCAAAGAGGTAATGTTTTTCGAATCGTTTTTGATTAAATTAAAGTTATTCAAACTTATCATTCAAATAAACAATTCAACCGATGAGGAGGGCTTGAAAGTACAACGGTTTTGATTTTTAAATACCTTCAATTGTACAAAAAAAATTTGTTGCAACAGTAAGAAAAATCGTGTCCCATTTTTCGTGTTATGCTCAAATTTTCGCGGCCGATTGCTCGGTCAAAAACGAAACGAGTTACATAGAATTTCAAAACGATCATAGTAAGAGAGCGAAAGTCAAATAGTGGCAACGCCCGCCTACGCACCTTTCACTTTTTAATCGTTGCATCTGCACGCTATACTTACATCACTTAATAGCTTGAGCCATGTGCTTCCAGATATAGTCAGTAAAGGTTAAGACGCCGCAAAGTGAACAGTTAAAATTATCGCAACATATTTACCAAGCGATATAATTCGTTAAAAAGTTAAATAAATCTTGAATTAATTTCGATCGTGTGTGTTGTGTATTAGTGCGTAGAAAAATTGTACTATTGTGTGTGGTTTGTCAAGAGATAATAGACAGTTTGAAAATTATGCCTTCAAAGGTAAATTGGAAGAGTGAACACAAGAGATACTGTCATCTTATCGAACTCACTCCTTTCATAAATGATCTGATGCAAATAGTTCCTGACCTCAGGACAATTTATCGAGCCGAACAAATCGAATGTCTCCTTAAGGATTCTATAAATCTCATGCGTAAAGACGAGAAATACAAACCCGTAGCAGAAGTATTCATCAAATGCCTGGCTCTGAACGGCTACAGAGACCATCCGAAAGTTGGCATAAATGGCAAGTCATCGTCACGCCGCTGCACACCCATACATCATGCGGCTCGATTCGGTTGCTACGACATCATTCCCGATCTTTTTCAAATATACGACAGATGCGACGTGAACTACTCCGACTACGAGGGTTACACGCACTTTCACGTCGCCATTCAGTCGGGGCATTACGAAGTCGTGAAGAAATTTCTCGATCTCGGCCAGGATCCCAATTGCTTGGCCGAAAAGTCGGACGTGAATTTCGAATGGCCTGCGCTGCACTTGGCTCTACTCTACGATAGAAAAGAAGTGATGGAATTGCTGTTGAGACGAGGCGCCGATCCTAACGCGGCCAACGAGAAAGGATTGACTCCTCTGCACATCGTCTACAGGAGAGAGAAGGATGCCGATGTCTTGGCGAAGCTGTTCTTCGAGATCTGTGACGAGTTGAATCAGCAGCTGCGAATGGACCCGCGGGACAAGTCGGGCAATACACCGCTGTACATGGCTCTGCTTTGGGAGAATAAGAAATTGGCCGAATTGCTGCTGAGGAGAGGCGCCGATGCGAATCTGGCCGTCAAGAACCTATGGACACCTTTGCACGTGATCTGCGCGAAGTACGAAGACTTGGCCGAGATGTTATTCGAGATGAGCGAAGAAAAACGTCAGCCGTTGCGAGTCAATGCTCGGGACAATTTGGGTGATACACCGCTGCACTGGGCTTTAAAGAACGACCGCAAAGGCGCGTCGAAATCTTTGCTGAAAAGAGGCGCCGATCCGAATCTGGCCAACGAGGCTGGATTGACACCTTTCCACTTGATCTGCGAGAAGTACGGTGACTTGGCGGAGATGTTACTCGAGATGAGCGAAGAAAAACGTCAGCCGTTACGAATCAATGCTCAGGACAATTTGGGCAATACACCGCTGCACTGGGCTTTAAAGAACGACCGCGAAAACGTGGCAAAATCTTTGCTGAAAGTAGGCGCTAATCGAAATTTGGTCGGTGAAAAGGGATCGACACCGTTGCACATCATCTGTCGGAAAAAATTCAACGACTTGGCGACGATGTTACTCGAGATCAACGACGACGACGACGAGCGGACAGTGAGGGTCGATGCTCAGGACAGTGAGGGCAACACACCGTTGCACTTGGCACTGACGAGCGGCTGTAAAAAACAGATTGTCAGATTGCTGCTGAAAAGGGGAGCCAACCCGAACTCGGCCAATCTGAAGGGAGTCACGGCTCTGCACATCGTTTGCGAGAAAGAAGACGGTCGCTATTGGCTGAAGATGTTGTTCGAGCTCAGCCAGGCCAAATATCGACCATTGCAGCTCGATGCGCAGGACGAGTCGGGCAATACACCGCTGCACTTAGCCCTGAAGAACGAAGACGGCACGGTAATGGCCGAGACGCTGCTGAGAAGAGGCGCCAATCCGAATCTGGCCAACAAAGACGGGGAGATCTCTCTGCACGCCCGGTGCGCGAATTTCCACGATCCCTACATGCTGAGGGTGATTTTTGAGGTCAGCCACGAAAAGTATCATCCGATGCGGGTGAATGCCCAGGACAAGTTCGGCAACGCACCGTTGCACTTGATCATGGATTCCGCGAGCAGCGAAGAGAAGGAGGAGGTGGAAATGGTGCTGAGAAGGGGCGCCGATCCTAACTTGGCCAACGAGGATGGAGACACTCCTCTGCACGGCATCTGCGAGATGGAGGAAGGATCTTACGAGCTGGCGGAGCTGTTCTTCAAGATCAGCGACGAAGAGGGTCGAGCGGTTTGGGTCAATGTTCCGAACAAGCTGGGCGATACACCGTTGCACAAGGCCGCGCGATCCGAAGGCCGCGACAGGCGGCAGCTGGTGAGATTGCTGCTGAGAAGGGACGCCGACCCGAAATTGGCCAACAACGTCGGAGAGACTCCTCTGCACGTGGCCTGCGCCGCCCAAGAAGACGATTCCAGCGTGGTGAAGATGTTGTTCGAGATCGGCGGCGAGATCGACGTCGAGGACAAGTTTGGCCGTACACCACTGCGAATAGCTGTGGAGAATCTATTGCCGAAAACTGTCGACTTTCTGCTAGACAACGGCGCCGATCTGTCGAACTTCGTTTTTCCCACTGTTCTCGTCGAGAATTTAATGCCCAGGGAGCAGGAAAGCTGGAATAACTTAAAATTGAGACTGGCGACTCGTGCTCTGACCGTCGTCGAGCATCTCGAGAAAAGAGGATACAAATTGGACCTAAGCGAAGCCCTAATCGTCATGTCGAAATTCGTCAAGTACGAAATGTTCGGGAGTGAGCGGGATTTCGCTTTGTGTCGGTACGACGATGGTTTTCGGAGAACGATGAAAGCGATTAAAATAAATCCGAGTATGTCGCTCGACGACTTGATTCAACTGCGACCCAACGAGGCAGAAGAACAATTCAAATATACGGATTACTCGGAGCTCAATGAATCGATCAATTGGCAGCAATTTTTCGAATGGTTTGGAGAGCCTTGTGTTAAGCACCTGTGCGAGAAACTGTCGAGGCGATTTTTCCTGGACTGGGCCTTGGAATGTTTCATGGTGCTTATGCACAACCGACTGCCGGCTCTCTGCTGTGATATGATCATCGATGAGCTAACGAACAAAGATTTGTGGAATATTTGCCTAGCGGCTGCGAGCAAAACTGACGAAGATAGTAATATAGTCAGTATTATCCCACGGACGAATACTTTGGATTTGTGGAGCATATGGAATAGTGAACGTCATATAGCTTCTATGGATGGCTTCATTCCGCCGGGCTTTATGGAGGAGTTCTTTGATCGAGTTTTTTAAATTTTGTAAATTTTCCATGTCATTTAAATAAATAATTTTAAAAAGAGATTTCCAATTTTTTGATTGATAAATCGGGTAAGGGAGGGTATTACTGCGCTTTTTTTAGGATAACTTACAATCCCATTTTCTATGTGCTTAATAGTAATCAAATACTTCATTTTTTTATGTGTACCTCTGAGACACTCTACACTGAAAAAAATCTTAGAGGCAAGTCCAACAAAAGTGGACAGTCGGATCAGAAAAAGATATTTTGCTGCCACAGCAAAAAATGTAGTAAAATTTAGCATTGAAATAGAGCCCAATAATTTTTATCTTTTTCTGATCCGGCTGTCCACTTTTGTTGGACTAGCTTGTAATATTCTTTTCAGTGCAGTTGGTTTTTTTGACCACAATACGATATATTATTTAAATAAAAGCTATGTTTTAATACATAGGTAACAGAAGAGGAATTGCAGGAGCCAACCACCTCAACCAACGATAACACCAATACAAGAATGAGTATGCGTGTTTTTTTTTTTTTTTTTTTT